AAGACCACCACGACCCGATATGATGTCTCCGCTGCGCTGCCGCACAAGTGCCCGACCCTTTACAAAGGGGCATCGCATTCGCCCCAGATGCGTTTTTGATAGACCTGGGCCTACCCCAATACTAGGGGGCCACATGCGAACCCTACCCCTACCGCCAACGATTTCTGAGGGGGAGGGTGGGGTTCACTTCGCTTGGGAGCTCCCGAACGAAGTGAGCCCCACCCTCCCCCTCCGAAGTCGTGGGGGGTAGGGGTAGGGTTCGCATGTGGCCCCCTACATAAAACGTAGGCCGACATCGAGTATTCTTCGCCAGCAGTGGGGGCGGGGCCAACTCATCGGAAAGCCGACTGGCGGCGCAGGGAAAGCGAGGAAACTTCATCATGTTCGCAGCGCTGGCGGGCGCGAGCGCGACTGCAGGGCAGGCGGGCTGCAACCCAGATCATCCAATACTGCCTACATTCGGTAGCGATTTAGGCGTTCGTCGGTTTTCGATTGCGACCGGATGCTGGATTTGTCGGTCGCGTCGGACAGTTGCGAACAGGTGCCAACTTGGGAGGGTGAATCCTGGCAGCGGGAAAAACGAACTTCGGTAGCGAACCCGACGCGAACATTGTAGCGGGAGAACGAAATTCGGCAGCTGGAAACAGGCATCTGAAGCGGAACGAATACAATCAGTAATTCAAAGATGACGATGATGCTGATGATGATGATGATGATGATGATGATCATCATCATCATCATCATCATCATCATCATCATCATCATCATCATCATCATCAGCATCATCATCATCATCATCATCATCATCATCCTCATCATCCTCATCATCATCATCACATCATCATCATCATCATCATCAATCCATCCATCACCATCACCATCATCATCATCATCATCATCAATCATCATCATCAGCATCACATCAGCATCATCATCAGCATCAGCATCATCATCATCATCATCATCATCATCATCATCATCATCATCATCATCATCATCATCGTCGTCGTCGTCGTCGTCATCATCATCATCATCATCATCATCATCATCACCATCATCATCATCATCATCACCAGCACCAGCATCAGCATCAGCATCAGCATCATCATCATCATCATCATCAGCATCATCATCATCGTAAGCATCATCGTAAGCATCATCGTAATAATCATCATCACCATCAGCATCGTCGTCGGCATAATCATCATCATCAGCATCATCAGCATCAGCAGCATCACCATCAGCATAATGATATTAATCCTCATCATCAGCAGCATCATCATAACACTCAGCATCGTCCTCACCATCGTCACCAGCAATAACATGACCATGCTGTTTCAACACTACGACCAGCATTGTAACCATGCCGCTGGTGTTACAATCATCACGGGTGTTATAGTGTCCCACTATGCCGTCATTACGACGTTCTTATACATGAGTTTGCGAAATTGCACTTGGACATCGCACACACATTACGCACACAAACACACACATATATATATATATATATGTATTCACATATTTCCCATACTCAACACGCTTGCTTACATATACCGAGGATCCTGGAGGTGTTCCGACTTTGCCTGACGCTCCCTCAGGAAAAACATCAACATTTTTTTATGTACCGCGGGTGGCATCATCACCATTATCATCATCAACACTGGCATGATCGTCGTCATGATCTGCACGACCATCAACAATAGCATCAACAACATCGCAATTATCCCGGATGCCATCATCGCGGTCGTTGGAGCCATCTGCGTCATCATCGGAATCCTTGCCACAGTACTCACATCAATGCCATCATCATCCACATCCTCATCATCCTAATCATCCTCATCACCGTCATCATCATCATCATCATCATCATCATCATCATCATCATCATCATCATGATCATCACCACCATCATCATCATCATCATCAGAATCAGCATCATCATCACCGTCGTCATCACCATCATCATCATCAGCATAATCGCTGCAATCTAGTACTCCCATCTCAAAAACCGTAGCTCCGAAAAGAAACTCCATAACGCTGGTCGAAATTCGGTAGCCACGACGCACTCAAATTCGGTGGCGCTGAAACCAATTTCGGTATCGCACTACCGGCTTTTCAGCGCCATTTCGGTCGTGCGTGCAATGCGCCCGCTACAGATTTTGGGCATTGGCTTTCGGCATTTCGGGCGCGACCGCATCTTGTGAAACGCTGCCGGAAAAATCAGCATCGGATGATCTTGGAAACAACAGATCGAGAAACCGCGCCCCGACTGCAAGAAAAACATGCCGCCAGAGGCCTGGGCCGCCGCCGGCGCACGCGACGACGCCCACGCCGCCGACGGCTGCCACCGACGGCGCAGCGGGCGGCCGCCGCCGCCTCCGCCGCCGTCGTTGTCGACGCGGGCTGCGCCGCCTGCGCCTGCGCCGCCGCCGCCGTCGTCGCCGACGACGTCGTCGTCGTCGTCGTCGTCGTCGTCGCCGTCGCCTCCGCCTCGTCCGCCCCCAGCTGCAGCCCCTCGGGCAGCGACAGCTCGTCGTCGGGCAGCGCCTCGCGCGCGCGGGGGCGCGCGCGCGGGGCGTGCGCGAGGGGCGGCCGGCGGGGGGGTCTGGCGGGCAGCGGTCGGGGGCGAGGTTGGGGGCGAGAGCTGCGGGCGGGGGCGAGGGCGAGAACGAGGGTTGGGGCGCAGCCGAGATCGGCCGACGAGGGCGAGAGCAGGAGCGGCGTCCGAGGAGAATGCCGAGGAGAGGGGCGAGGGCGAAGAAGGAGCTAAAAGAGAATGACAAGCGCCAGAACTGAAGATAGGTAGCAGCGTGATGCGGGTACAGTCCACCCGTATAGCAAAGATGCGCGATAAGGATGCAAGGGCCTTGGAGGGCCATTTCGACGCTTTTCGAGCGGGGCACGGCCAGAAAAGGGCCGAAGGGACAAGAATGCAAGGGTATCCTTGGGAGAATTGCCCATTCTTATTATGCGGGTTGACTGTAACGTGTTCGGCCGTGTAGCCGTGTAACGCACGGCGGGGCGCCAAGCAACCGAAACGCAACTCCCTTTGGCTGAGACCCAAGTCTTAGGATATCAAACGCAACCTCTTCAACTTAACCGTTCAGCTTGGGCTTCCGAGTCCACGTGCGAGTCGGGAGAGCTTTGGGGACGTTCGGAAAAGGATCGGAAGCGTAGTTGTTGCTTGCATGTCACATTGGTTGGCACTGGTGCATCTCAGTGCATTTTCTTGGGGGGTGCGTCCAACTACTCGATGTTGAACTCAATGTACCGCGCGTCATGCAGGCAGTCGGGGGGGGTGTACGATGAGTGACCATAAACGCAGTGTTAAGTGCATCATTATCAATTGCACTGTAGTTGTTGTTCGTATTGCGCCGTATGTGTTGCGCTGCGCTTTGTCGCGAACCATTGCGGATACAAGTCGGCAAATGAAACTGGAGTGGTGCCGGGGGGATACGAGAAGGTGCGCTGTCACAACAGCAACGATCGCGATGCATTCTACAAGTCGTTCGTTCAGAATGTTGTCTTGAGCGCGTCTTGTGTTCCTACACTGCGGAATGTGTTTGTTTGGTTGTTGTGCTGTGCTTGGTTGTTTCACTTGACCTTTAGACTCCAGGGAAGGAGATGGTCTACTGTCAAAACGCCGATGATCAAGACGCCAAGAAACGTCGATTGCATCGCGATGGTTTCGGCGTTGCGATTAGTGATGCGCTACGTTTGTTTGTCTCGCGCGCAGCATTTCCAAACTATGGCATGGTCCGGCTTCTTGCGCCACAGAGATAATAAATTGCTGTCGTTCGTTTTGTCTTTCGTGTTGTGCTTTGTGTTGCCCCGCCCGTTGTCCTGCACCTCCCTCCCCAAAACGGAAAAACAAACAAGCGCCGAGGTCCAGAAAAACAGCGTCTGGGTCCAGCCCTGAACTGACATGCGCCTCCGTGAGTGAAGAGAAGAAGGCGCGGCTAGACGAACTGAGCTTCCTCTCCGTGGCTCCACGTCACCTCCCGCACTCCTCCCTACTGCTTTGCGCTGGCCGGGCATCTGGGTTCTGAGGCCACTCAAAGCCCACGGTTGTTATAACTGTACTTTCCTTTGGCTGGTTCAGCTTGAGCTCAGGACTCCTTGCGTGTGAATTAGGAGATATTTGGAGAGAATCCTGGGTGTGGTGTCAAGGTGACATCGACCATGGCGTGACATGCATTGCTGCGTTGCAGCGTGTTGCTGTAAATTGCAGTTGCATTGAAAGTGGCTTGCGTTGCGCTTCTCTTCTGCTGCGATTGGCTGCTTCAGCTCGGGCTGAGGATCTGCGCGCGTTTCGAGAGTGCGTTCAGGAGGTTCAGAGAGTGTGTGCGTGGTGTCAAATCGTCAACTTCTACGACAAGAAAAGAATGTGATACGTTGCGCGCGCGTGCTGAATTCCATCATTGCGCAATGAGAATCGTCCTTACCCGTGCGACTGATACCGTTTAACCGTGCAAAAATCACAGCGTGGCATCTGCGGATATGCTGGGCAATAGGAGGTCACAACGTAGCTTCTGTACGCAGAGATGCAATTCTATGAGATGCCACATTGGGAGGGGCCACGCTGTGGAGGTCACCACGTGGCATCTCTACGGATCCCTCGCTGTGTGATGCCACGCTGTCAGGGTCACAGCGTGGCATCCGTAGAAATGCCACGCTGTTGGATGCCATGCTGTGGGGGACACAACATGGTAATCGTAGACATGCCACGCTGTGAGATGCCACGTTGTGGGTTTCACAACGTGGCATCTGTAAAGATACAACTGTGAACGGCGCCGCGCTGAGGGAATCACCAGGATGTCAAGCTGTGAGATACCGCGCTGTGAAATGCGACGCTGTGGGGATCGCAGCGTTGCATCTGAAAAGATGGATAGATGCCACCCTTTGGGGGGGGGGGCACAACGAGGCAGATGTAGAGATGCCACGCTGTGAGATGCCACGCTGTCGGTGGCACAGCGTGGCATCTGTAGATCTCGGTAGCTACATCACGCTGTTCTGACAACGTGGTATCTGCAGGGATGCCACGCTGTGAGATGCCACGACGCGAGGACCAACGCGGGGCATACGTAGAGATGCCACGCTGTGAAGATCACCGCGCGGCATCTGTGGGGATGGCACACTGTGAGCTTACAGATGCTGACAGATCCGCGTGACAAGTGCTGGGAGGAAAAGCTGTTGGGATCACAGCGTGACATCCGTACCCCAGCGTGGCAACTGCAGACACGACACGCTGTGAGATGCCACGCTGTGGGGATTGGGGGGACAGCGAGGCACATGCAGAGAAGCCACGCTGTGGGAGTCACAGCTTGGCATCTGCAGATGTTCAAGCTGTAGGGATGTCACCACACCGTGGCATGCGTAGAGTGAGGTGCAACCACACCGTGGTATCGCTGGGGACGCCACGCTGTGGGGACCACAACGTGGCATCTGAAAAGATGCCACGATGTGAGGTGCAATGCTGTGATCCGTCTCACGGTTCTCACGAATAGGCGAGCTCAATCGAATGGGTTTGAACTAGCGTCTGGCGCAATACAGTCATAAATTTCGTTGCACTGTTACTTCGGAGTTCATTTTTTTCGGTGCGTTTGGCTATCTCAACTCGGGTGTCGGATTCCGCGTGCGAGTCGGGAGTGGGTTTGGGAGGTTCTGGAAGGAGTGTTGGCAAAACGCCAGCGACAATGCCGCAACACAAACGATGCCGTGTTTCGTTGCGTGCACCTGTCCTGTGGCATGTGCGCCTGGCAGCATGTTGATGTTTGGCAAGGGTTCGTTGTACTTGGTAATTTCTTCGTCCGCTTCGGATTCTGCATGTGCGTTGGGAGTGGTTTGGGAAATCTCCTGGGGGGGCGCGGTGCCAACGGGTAATCGTCCATGCCCTGCATGTCTCTGTTGCACCACATTGTGTTGCACGTGTTGTGCGATCGCCGCAGGTTCCCCAAACAACGCCTGCAATCAGGCGCCCTGGCTATTGTTGAGGTTAAGCAATTGGACGGAATCACTGAATATTGTCTCCTTTTATCGCCCCGTGTCATATCGTGGGCGCTCGTGGGCACCACATAGCTTGCACGACGTACCTTCCACCACATAACTTACACCACGTAGCCTACACAACATGGCATACACATATGGCCTACACCGCATAGCTTTCTCGCCCAGCTCAATTCACATACAGTTCAGCGACATAGCGTGTACCACATAGCTCACACAGCATCGCGTCCACCCGCATTGCTCACACCACGTAGCTTACACGACGGAGCTTGCACTACATAACTTACACTCGCTTTCACGCCCACCGTGCAAAACTACGCTGCTTTGCATGATTGCTTTGTGCCCTGCAAGCCGCTTAGCTGTCCTTATCCGATCTTATGCTTGATATTCGATGTCATCGCTTCGCGTGTAAGTCGACAGTGGCTCTGGACAGATCAGGGAAGGCGTGGCAATCAACACGCTCACGAACATGAGTGCTTTTCGGGAGAATGACGCATTACCATTGAACAAAAAGGACGCACAGCGGGTAGCATTGTACAGACTTGGGGGGGGGGATTGACCATGAACAGCGGCAAAACATGTCACACTCGAACGATCACGAGCATGAGCTTGAATCGAACGGAGATGCCCAAGCTTGAGAGAGGGGGAGCGAGGAGAGGCGGCGGAGGAAAGGAAACTCCACGTTCCGCCAGGAACCCGTTTGTTTGACACTTGCTGGTGGGGAGGAGAATAGAGGCCAGAACGTACAGCCCGATAATAACCACCCCGACACGCGAAGCCGTTTAGTAAACGCACCCAAAAAAATAATCAAACAGGGCAGGGCTGTTTAGTAAACGCCCAGGGCCGTTTAGTAAACGCCAGTTGCCCTGTCCGGGTGGTGTTTCCTCCCCTGAAGAGGAGGTCCCCCCCCCCTGGGGCTTTCTGCAGAACCTTCGCGGCGAGGCGTCACGGCACGCCCTTGCCAAGGGGCCGCCCTCCACAGTGCAGGGGAGGTGCCTGCAGAGACGAGGGAGGAACTCGGGACGAAAGGGCGTGCCGCAGCATTGCCGATGGATCCTGCCCACTCCCCTCCCTCCTCCGTCCCTCCTCCTCTCCCCTCCCCTCCTCCCCTCCCTCCTCCCCCTTCTTCCCTCCCTCCTCCTCCTCCTCCCCCTTCTTCCCTCTCTCCTCCTCCTCCTCCTCCTCCTCCTCCTCCTCCTCCTCCTCCTCCTCCTCCTCCTCCTCCTCCTCCTCCTCCTCCTCCTCCTCCTCCTCCTCCCTCCTCCTCCTCCTCCTCCCCCTCCTTCTCCCTCCTCCTCCTCCTCCCCCTCCTCCCTCCCTCCTCCTCCTCCTCCTCCTCCTCCTCCTCCTCCTCCTCCTCCTCCTCCTCCCTCCCTCCCTCCCCCCTCCCTCCCTCCCTCCCTCCCTCCCTCCCTCCCTCCCTCCCTCCTCCCTCCCATCCTCCCCTCCTCCCTCCTCCCTCCTCCTCCCTCCCCTCCCCTACCCCCTCCCCTCCCCCCTCCTCCTCTTCTTCTCCTTCTTCTTCTTCTGCGTCTCCTTCTTCGTCTTCTTCTTATTCTTCTTTCTCCTCCTCCTCCTCCTCCGTAGCCATTTTGGCTCATGCCTGCCTTGGGCGCCAGGCGGGTTGGGTGCAGCAGCAGCAGGAGTCCTGCTGCTGCTGCTGCTGCTGCTGCGCTCGACAGCGGCTCTTTCCCAGTCCCCTTTCGCGGCCCCCGCGATGACGGCGGTCGGCCTGGAGGAGAAGGTGCATGTGGCTGCGGGGGCTGGCCCAGGTGGGGCGGCCCAGGAGCCCTCAGGGCTTTGGAGACCGCCACGCCGGGCGTCTCGGCAGCCCGCCGAGCCGCGCGCAAGCGGCGGCTGGCGGCGGCGGAGGCCGCGGCGCTAGGGCGAGGCGGCCCCGGTTCTTGGCAGGACCGCGAGGCGGCTGCGCGGCCGGCGCTGGTGCTCGCGGCCAGCAGGCGCCGGGTCCCGGGGGGCGGGACGCCGGCGCCGTAACGCCGCGCTCCACTTGGCGCGCATCCCAGCGCTGAGGCTCGCCGCCGCGTCGGCGGCGAACCACAGCGTCTCCCCGCGCCCTCCTGTCGGCGCTGGAGGAGGAGGACGAGGAGGCGCACTACAGCGACGACGAGGATGCAGGCTCGACCTGGCTTGCTCCAGGCGACTGGCAGCCGCGCGGCCCAGTGGCGGAGGCGAAGCTCTTCCCTTGGGGGCTGGAGGCGGGATGGCGGCCGGCGCAGGTCGAGGAGCTGAAGAAGTGCGGCGCCAAGGACACCTGCGAGGGCGAGCGCGACCAGGAGTTCCTTGACAGGGACCAGGGGGTTGAGAAGGAGGAGGAGGAGGAGAAGGAGGAGGAGGAGGAGGAGAAGGAGGAGGAGGAGGAGGAGGAGGAGGAAAAGGAGGGGGATGAGGAGGAGGAGGAGGAGGAGGAGGAGGAGGAGGAAGAAGAGGAGGTGCAGTTCAGGGATGAAGTCGGCATCGTGGTTGTCGACAGGGTCAAGCAGAGCCTACTGTGCCCTGCGCGGCCCGCGCATCTCTTGGAAAAAGGCTCGACGACGGGTGAGCGGGGCGGGCGAGGGCGGCGGCGTCTCGGGGGCTGCGGTGGCCGCTGCTCGTGCCCCCGGCGGTGGGATGGAGGACTGTACGCCCGACGTGTTTTCCTTGGCCTCTGCCCCGCTCGGCACGGACTCGTTCTCTCCGCCGCCACCCGCCTGTCGCTTTTTCGTCTGCGAGTGGTGCCGCTGCACTGCTGCACCGTGTGCCTCGAGTGCGTCGGGTGAGCTGGGCGCGGGCACTCGCTCTCTCCTGCTGGGTCCGCCTCGTGATCCTGGTGCGGCGCCCCTCGGCCCGTTTTGGGGGGGCCGCCGCGGTTCCCCCGTCGGGGTGGGTGAGCGGCCGCGGGCGGCCGCCGGGGGTGCCCGTTTGGTACCCGCGGGGGTGGCTTCCTTCCCCCTGGCTTGCCCTCGGGGCGGCCAGGGTCGGTCGGATGCCCGTCTGGGCTTCTTCGGAGTCTCTCCCTCTTCGCCACGGTCTCTGCGCGGCGCGCCCGCGGCGGCGCGGGAACCTTTCGGCATCTGGGGCCCTGGCGGTCGTCAGCTTGCTGACGGCCGCCAGGGCCTCTTTGATGCTGCCCCATCCATCCATCCATCCATCCATCGATCCATCCATCCATCGATCCATCCATCCATCCATCCATCCATCCTCCTCCTGGCTCCTTCTCCTCGTTCCTCCTCCTCTCCCTCCTCCTCCTTCCCCTCCTCCTCCTCCTCCTCCTCCTCCTCCTCCTCCTCCTCCTCCTGCTCGCTCATCTTCCTAGCTGGGAACCTGTAACTCTCCGGCCCTCGCCCCCGCCCAGGCCGGTTCGCTCGCGGGCAGGCGCGTCGGTCATCCACAGCTCGTCCACCAGGTCCAGGAGCCCCACCTCGTGGGATCGCCCTCCTCCCCCCAGGCCCACGAGGGAGGAGGGGAGGAGGAGGAGGACGACGAGGACGAGGGGGGGGAGGCCAACAAGAGGGAAGGTTTTGTGTAGCGGGTGGAGGAGGTGCAGGGGAAGGCGGAGATGCCCCTCACGGGCAAATGTATGCCCCTCCTCCCTCTCTGCCTCCAAGTAAATGAGGAGGACGGGAATGGAAAATCGTTCTCCGCGTTCTCCTCATCCACCTCCCCTCCCCCGTTCCCCTACCCTCATCCTGGTCCGTCCCTTCCTCTCCATCTCCGCCCCCTCCTCACCCCGCTAGTTCACACAGTCCTCCACGTCCCCTCCTCCCTCCTCCATCTCCCCATCCTACTTCATCTCCCCCTCCTCCCCCTCGACATGCGCAATCTCAATTGTCTCCACATCACCCTCCTTATCAACCTCTTCGTTGTCATCCCCCCTGCTCCTGATAATCACCGATATCAGATCAACCTGGCCACCATCAAGATAATCCGCGTGTGTGGCATCACCATCAGCACCATCAGCAGTATCATAGTATACATAATGAACATCAGAACCATCATTAAGCATGGCAAAAACTATATGTACAACCACCTCGAACATCATAAACAAGATCCTCCTCCTCACCAGTCTCTTCCTCCTCCTGATCATCATCATGATCGTCGTCACCGTAATCACCACAGTAATACTGAAAATAGTAATGGTACGCCTCCTCATCATTATCATCATCATCATCGTCATCATCATCATCATCATCATCATCATCATCATCATCATCATGATCGTCGTCACCGTAGCCGCCATAATGACAGTACTAATAATCATAATCATCGTTATCATCATCAGCACCAGCATCATCATGATCATCATAGTCATCACCATCAATACCATGGCCATCATCATCAGCATCAGCATCATCATTATCGTCAGCATTATCAGCATCAACGACATCATCACCATCAGCATCAACATCGACATCTGCATCATCCTCATCGTCGCCATCATCACAATCCTCATCCTCTCGTCGTCGTCGCCCTCATCCTCATCGTCTTCCTTATCCTCAGCAGCATCGACATCATCTCTATCATCGTCATCTGCATCACCATCAACATCATCATCTTCATCATCGTCCTCATCCTTACCACCATCCTCGTCATCATCAGCAGCAACAACATCGTCATCATCATTATCGTTAGCATCATCATCATCATCCTCATCATCGGCATCATCCTCACTCTGATTATCCTCATTATCCTCGTCCTCATCTGCGTCTTCATCATCATCACCATCAGCATCATCCTGGTCATCATCATCAGCAGCACCAGCATCATTCGCATATTCATCAGCATCACCATTATCACCACAACCATCATCATCATCACCACCATGACCAGCATTCGTATCAGCATCAGTATCATCATCAGCATCAACATCATCATCGGCAGCATCATGATGGTGATGATGGTCATCATCGTCAGCAGCAACATCATCATCATCATCATCATCATCATCATCATCGCAACAATGATGAACATTGCTTGCACACCTCATCTTCGTCGGTGACGCACCTCATCCACATCTGACATCGATCGATACATGACCTTGGCAACCCGTCGACGCTCCTTGCCTCCTCCTCCCCTTACTCGCACTTCCTACTGCTCGGTGCTCCTCCCTCATCACTCACCCATCCTTCGGCTACACGCAAGAGCTTAGTGGGCCCTGGAAACGACTGGGCCGTTTAATTACCGGTTCCGTGTTGCCGTTTTTGTTGCCGGTTCCGACGCCGTTTTTTTACCGGTTCCGTCGCCGTTTTTGTTACCGGTTCCGGCTCCGGTTCCAAACCTGGAGCCGTTTTTTAGTCGTTTCCGGTCGCCGTTTTTTTGGCCGTTTCCATTTTCACGGGACATGTTTTGGAAACGGTGAAAAAACGGCCCTGCCGTTTCCGGGGCCCACAAAGCGCAAGAGTGACCGTGGGCACGAGTGACTTTTGGTGCGCGATTTTTTCGGGGCCGCGGGGGGACCAAACACAAGCGCGCGAGACGCTACCACCACATCGCGCTCGGCAATGGAGGGACCCCGTTTGGCCCGCACCAAAAGTCACTCCGGCTGAAGGTCACTCCTACGTCTCGTCGAATCTAGGGCTCCCAACTTCGCGCTTCGCGCTCCGCGAAGCGCGAAGCGCGAATAACTTCGCGCCCTCGCGCCGCCCCCCCAAAGGGAGAAAAGGAGGACGAGGAGGAGGGGGAGAAGGAACGAGGACCGCGAAACGCGAATAACTTCGCGCCCTCGTGGGAGCCCTTGCGAATCCTCCCCCCTGATCGCACCTTGCCGGCTCTCCGTCTTCCTCCCCCTCCTCCATCTTGCACCCCGTCTGCGCATCCTGTTCCGCCGCTCTGGGCCCCCTTCTGGCGCCCACCCCCCCCTTAGGCCGAGACCAGAGCGTGCCCTGCCGTTCCTCTGCGGAACTGCGCGGCGGAAAGCGTCAACACGACCCCTCTGGCGGTCCGCGCGTACGTCGTGGATCGGCGCTCGAAGGCCCTCCCTCGGAGGCGCGGGTCGCGCCATGTGGCTGCGCCGTAGACGCCGCCAAAGTGGCCCAGCGCCGGTCGACTATAATTGCTGCGTTCGTGCATTAGCAGGTAGTGTTTTCTCACGTACTCCTCATCATCCTCCACCTCACAATTATGCCTATGGAGTGTCAGCTCTCATTGTGCAATTTCTGATTTGGCTCCGATTGAACACGGCATGTGCTGTACGCTCCGACGGCTCAGGTTCCAACTGCTCTGCTCTTGGACCCCAACAAGCATAACCATGCGTTTGCAAAGTAGCTTCTGTTCCTGCAGGGCGTGCGCAGGGTGAGGAAGGGGGAGGCGTGGCAGGACCAGACGCGCGCGGGGAGCTGGCGGTAAAGCCAGGAGTGCGGGGGCAGTGCCGACCGGTGCCCGCCTTCCACCGGTGCCTGTGGCAGAACACGCTGTCGGAGGCGTGGAGCTGGGACATGGTTGGGCCGAGGAAGGGAGGGCCGAGGAAAAGGAAGAGGAGGAGGAGGAAAAGGAGAGGAGAAGGAGGAGGAGGGAGGAGGGCGGAGGGAGGAGACAAGGACAGGACATCCGCATAAGGTGATTCTACGCCATGACAGCTACAGTGGTGCCGTGCGCGGATCTGCCAAAATCCCCTGCGAGTGGTTGCACAACGGCCCTAACCTTTCAGTAGGGCCAGCAGGGGGCAGACCCCGCTGCTCAAGGAGTGAACTCCGAAGTGGCCCCGTAAGAGAGGTTCGCTACCTTACGATTACGAGTCATTGCGGGCCACTGCGGAGGAAATGCTGGCCCTTCCGCGTGCCCAAGGGTTGCGGACGAGCGGGCTTAGCAGGGCGCCCAAGCTAGGGGGGATGAGACGACGACGCGACAAGCCAAAAAAAAGAGGAGGCCCGTGTTTCCCAAAATGTTGTGGTTGTTGTTTTTTGGGGGGCGAATTACCCTACTGATTTTATCATTTCAAAATCACTCCTCTCTCGTTCGGCTAACTTCTCTTCCGCATCGAGCTGATAGTTGTCCCATGCGTTGTCATGGCTGCACTCTGATACCAGGTTGAAGTATCCCACTGTTTCCCCATCGGAGTGTACGTGGGACACAGCATACTGGTAGTAGTCGCGGTATGTTGTAGGTGGGGCCATCGACGATGCGCTCTGGTGGCCTTCGGAATGATCTCATTTTGTCCATTCATCACCCTGCAGTAATGTACCAGTCGGCGCTCCAACGAAAAAGCGTCCCATGACGATGTTGGCGCAAGCCCTCTGTGTTTGCTCGCCCTGTTTGCCTGCGAGTAGCACTCCGAGATAACCTTCAGAATGCTTCTCTTGGCTCTGCCAGTGGGCGTGCACAGCTTGCCCAGGGTAGCCCTCCGAGAAAGCATCGCTAATGCATCTCCTGGCTTTCCAATGGGCTCCAGCGGGTGCCCTCGCTGGTGGCCGCTGGAGGAGCTGGCCGTCGTCGTCTCCTCCGACTTGGGGTGGGCGAAATTGTCCTCGAAGATATCGGTATCATCCAGCAAGGTCTGCGCGTTGCCTCGTATATTCTGTCGCTCGCTGAGCCTTTGCACGTCCTCTGGGTCGAAATTGCCCTCGTTACTCAGGTCCTTCATGGCGACTTCATGACTTTGTGGAGGTTCTCTTCACCATTCCTCGAGATTGTCAGCGCCAGCTCGAAACAGCCCTGCACCGTGAAGGCCTTCTTCCCAGCCCTTTCCCACGCGTCCACCAAATACCTTGCGATGGGACCGCAACCTCTGACCTTGTGCGTCATCGGGAAGGCCACGGGGATCAGCTCGAGAAGACTCTCTGGGTTCATTTTCTGGGTGGCGTCGTAGAACTTGCAGTGGCACTCGTTGATGGCGTCGTCTAGCTGCTGCGGCAGCCTTTCCGCTACGAGGGCTTCCCAGCCATTTCCCACCGTAAGCTCCACCGCCATTGACGGTCCGCTCTTGAACGGGAGGAACTTCGATTTGCACCCGATGTCTGGCCACCCCTTCCCAGTCATCGCCGAACGCGCCCTTCAGCTTGACCACCCACTCTTTCATGAGCTTGTCTCCTGGGTAACTCTCATGCGCCTTAACGAACTACGACCAGTCCACCTTGCACCAAAACTGCCGCTTGTCCCCTTTCGAGTGGGCGCTGGGGCCGTTCCACCACAACTTGTTTGGGACGGCGAGCCCGCGCCAGCAGGCGACGCCCTTTTTTTCGTCCCATCCTGTGTTCCTCCTGCGTACGTTGGACAGCTGCACGTTGTCGCTCCACCTGTCGTGGAGGAGCGCTCCACCTGAAGCGTCTCGCCAGCATCTCGCCACAAGCGAAATGCGCCGCGTTCAACTGGTCATTCGGGGATGGACAGACCTCCCTTTAGTAAAACGCGGTTTAGTGGAAACGACCTCGGGCCCAAAACTGGCGGGCGAAAACCTGGAAAATAACGGCCGCGGCGCCCTGTCGAGAACCGAAAACGGACAAATCACGAATCGACGTGTCACTGTTGGGGGTTCTGTCCACCCCCGAGTCATACACCAGCGTGCATTCCAGGGTCCTGCACGCCCTCCCACGGTCGTCGACGCCTGGCTCGTTGCCAAGCAGGCCAGCCTTTGAAAACCAACGTGCGTGGCGGCCGGTCGGGGCCCCGCCGTGCGCCCCCATGAACTGCAGGACCCAGTGGGCCGTCCTCGGGCCCCGCGCTGGCCATTCGGGAAAACTTGAACAATCAAATAAATACAGACCGGAAGAAAACAAAAAAAAAAAAAAAAAAAAAAAATTCTCCAATATGCTCTGGATGTTTGTCTTCCCCCCCACTTCTTCCCATATTTTCCCATATTTTCTGGGGAATGGACGATTCATTGTGTCCGTGCGTTGCTTTCCCTCCTGAAAACTGACCGACCGTCATCGCCGACGCTGCCGCGCGCCAGTCGACGCGCCGCTGGCCGAGCAGGTCGTACAGTCGGGGCGTTAACCTAAGGAGCCCGACATAAGGAACGAGGCCCCTTCTTCCCATCAGATAACTTCCATTTCCCAAGGAAAACCTAAGGAAGACACATGGCAAACTGTAAAACAATCAAGGAACACCGAGCCCCTCCCCAACGATAAGGGTCTTCAGCGCCCCACTGTAGGCCACGGGGCGGATGCGGGCGTGCACCACCGCAGCAGCCACGCCTGCGGCGGGCGCGGCCGCCCCTGGGCCCGCAGCCAGGGGCCGGGCCCCGACCGTGGCCCGGGGGCGGGCGCCGCTGAGGCGGCCGCCCAAGCCGTGGGAGGCTGTGCTCGTGCTGCGGCCACGATCGATGGAGGCCATCGATCATGGCATCCCATCCTAGGCCCCTACCCTCCCATCCTAAGCCCCTATCCTCCCATCCTTGACGACCCGGCAAGACCCCCCCATCCTATAGGCACCCAGAGGTGGGATGCCACCGGCCGCCCGGGCACCCACGATCGCAGGACCTGCGGCGGGCACCAGGAGACCGGCGCGCCGCTGAGGCGGCCGCCCAAGACGTGGGAGGCTGTGCTCGTGCTGCGGCAACGGCCATCGACCCCGCCAGCGATGCCACCGGCCGCACGGGCCCCCACGACCGCAGAAACCTGCGGCGGGCGCCAGGAGACCGGAGACGCCAGGTGAGGCCGCGGACGCAGACACGGTCAGCACGATGACGAGGCGGCCAGCACCGACGAGGTGGGGCTCCACGGTGGCCCCCGGCGCCAGGAGTGCGAGGGCAGTGCCGACGGGTGCCCGCCTTCCATCGGTGCCTGTGGCAGACCACGCTGTCGGAGGCGTGGAGCTGGGACATGGCTGGGCCGAGGGGAGGACCGAGGAGGAGATGGAGGAGGAGGAGGAGGAGGAGGGGGAAAAAGAGGAGGGACAGGAGGAGGAGGAGGAGGAGGAGGAGGAGGAGGAGGACAGGGCGCAGCTTCAAAGGAAGCCCTGACCGCCGTGAGAACTCACGACGGCCAGGGCCACCAGAAGTCGGGAGGCGAGGCGGTTGACCTATACGCCGCCAGGTGCGCGCGGGCGCGGCCGCACCGGCGGCGGCAGAGCCGCGTCCGCCCGCTCCGGCTTCCCAGCGAAGGCCGCGCCGAGGAAGTCCCTGTGGGGCCGTACCCTGAGGCCGACACCCCCGCCCAGCCTCCCCCCGCGAGGACTGGGCCCGTGGCCGTACCCAGAGGCCGTCGCCACACGGAGCCGTACCCAGAGGCCGACACTCCTGCGCAGAACCACTCCCCCCGCAGGGGCGGCATACGCCTCGAAGTGGAAACTGCGCTGGGGCCGTACCCTGAGGCCGACACCCCCAGTGTAGCCTCAGGGAGAGGACTGCACCGCGCTGGCGCGGAAGAGGTACTCGCCGTCCACGTAGAAGACCTCCGCGAAACGGCCCGAGGCCAAGTAGTCGGCCACGAGCTCGAGGTCGACCCCGAGGCGTTCGTGCTTGCGGACCACGTCGCCCGCGTGCACCCCGTCCCCGCCGCCAGAGGCCGAAAACATCTCGGTGAGGAAGTCCTCGACGTCGAAATCCGACACGGCGTCGGCCTCAACAGCAGGCTCCCCGCCTCGAACGACGCTCTCGTCGAGGGGCTCCGCGACCTCCTCCACGGTGGGGGCCACGGACTTACCACACCCCTCAGGCCCGCGGGAGCCGGCCTCCTCCGGTGCGGTCTCCTCCGGGGCGAGGCTCGCAGCCTTCACCTCCTTCACGGGGGAGAGGTCCCGGGGCCGCGGCGGGGCCCTCGGCCACGGCGTGCACGGCGCGGGTTCACCTACCGCGGCAGCGTCGTCGCCCACGGCACAGCTCGCCGACGAGTACCCGTGGTCATCCGTCGGCACCGCGTCCGCGGCCATCTGGTCGGGCGAGGCAAACGGCCCGCGGCGCATCGCCCCACCGCGTGACCAGCAGTGGGCAGGGCCCATCGAACAGGGCGCGAAGACCACGGCACCGCACGAGCAGCGGCTGCCTCGCACCTCGTCCTCCATCCCCTCCTCCGACGCATGCATCGGCACCTCCGCGGCAGGCACGAAAGGCGGGGCCGCCACCCGCAGCACCGTGTGCGGGGCCTCCGCGCCAGGCACGAAGGGAGGGGCTGCCACCCGCAGCCCTGTAGGCCGATCCTCCGCGGCCGCGGGGTGGCCAGGGGCGGGGGCGTCGGGGAGGACGTCGACGGGGGCGAGGATCTCTGCCGCGTTCCCCATGGCATCCTCGTCGAAGGGCGCGGCCGCTCCCAAGCGGGGCCCCGCGGCAGCCCACTGGAGCTCCTCGTCCGTGGCCTGCGAGAAGCCGAGGGGCGGGACGCGTGCCGCGTGCCACGCGGCGTTGCGGCGGCGCCGCGAACGCCCTGGCACAGGCGCGCCGAGGGCCGCCAGCTGCAGTGCTGGGCGCGCGGCCCGCTCGCGGTCACGCCACAAACCTGGAGGCGCAGCACCCAGGTCGGCCCGGGCACGCCGTAAGCCAGCCTCGCAGGCCAGCTGCGCCCGGCGGCGGGCCGCCCGCCGAGACGTCGTCGCGCCGAGCTGCACATTCTCCAGCGCGCGACCGGGC